AGAAGGAGTTACCGGGCAAAGAGTTATGTGGGGAGGGGGAGTGGACGTTCCTGGACGCTAGATTTCTAGATAACTCCGCAATCTGCATCTCTTGGCGCTTAACTGTATTATAGAGTTGAACGAAAATGGGAATCTGGGCAATATCAATTGGTCTGGAAGACAATTTGGACAACTCCATACCCAGACTCTCGAACATGGACGTACAGATCGACTGTGACTCAATACGCTCAGAGTCAGATCTGGAGAGATCGTCACGAAGTGATTTGACCTCGGCAGCGTAGTCGTTGTTACGTAGAGTCAACACGTCAGCTCTACTAGACGAGTCATGGTTAAGTTGTTCCAGGAAAGTGATGTGGTCCCGAACCGCCTCCAATTTGGAGGACAAGTCAGATTCGATGTAACGGATAGACTCCGCAATCTTTGGGATACCATCATTGATTCTCGTCCTGAAGCCCTGCGCAGACTCAGAAGTGGAGGGAGACATAAAGCCTTTGGGAGGAAAGATCAGAGCCAATATCAATTTGCAAAACATAGCACACATACCAAGACGGGTCATAGCATCGAGTTCAGATTGACGGAGTAGAGGTGTGCTACTGGATCCAGCTTCCTTCGCATGGGAATCCTCCACTACCTGCTTTGACTTTCCCTTTGCGCCGCGAACGGGGCGTTTGGTAGGGGACAGAGATTCCATTGAGGCCGAAGACTGCCCAGCAAGTGAACGAGCATTGGAAGGAGGCACAGGAGTAAGTGAAGAAGTAGGGGGGGTTGGGGATACTTCCATTCCAGTAAGCACAGGTACCGCTGTAGTGTCTACCGGCTCAGGCAAGTCATCCGCTAAGGTAGGGGTAGGAGACGATGGAGGTGTCAAGTCGTCAAGGACAAGAGGAGCGGGAGCTCCCTGCTCACCCAAGCACGAGTCTGATTTCGGGATGGAGAGGAGATCAGGCAGCATATTGAGGGGTATCGCTCGTAGCGGACAATTGAGAACGTAGCGGGGTAGGGAACGTTAACGATGATAAAGGAGAATCGAATATGAAACGAAGGACGCAGAAAGAGAATGTTATGGAGGACAAATCGGAGGTGAAAGGAATGATAGATAACGAGAGAGACAATAAAAACGAGAGAGATATTAAAGAGGACAGTGTTATTTACGAGGGCGAGGTGATATATCGCTTTAAATCAAAGGCGTTTTATACGACACTACCATGTCTTGGATCATGGAGCAGTTGCCAGCGGTAATCGCGAGCGAGTGAGGAATAGGGATGATCATGGAATCGATGTGTATTTTCGGGCATGTAGGGGCAGACACTTGTGGGAGTAGGAACGTTGCAACCAGGAAACAATAATTTATTCGTCATGGCAGAGCTCCTTGTTCAAGGAGAACCATGAAACGCCACCGAGACGGACTACAATCGAATCCGCTATTAGGACCGGAACAACGCCCGACTCCAACATTCTATAATCCAGGCGAACTTCCAGATCGATAACCGCTCCAGGCGTGATCGCTCTGAAAGACTCCTTTGCTGCGTTATTGTATAGGCCACATATTGACACAAAATCCAATTATTCCTGATTCACGGTGTTTTCTTTTTCTTTTTTCTAGGCTAATTCCGATGAACCAGATTGGCAACACGCGTTTTATGGGGAACATTATGATCGTTTGCTACAGATCAAGGATAGATATGATCCTGATGAGATGTTGTATGGGTCGACGGCTGTTGGTGGTGACCGGTGGGTAGAGGATGTCGATGGGAGATTGTGTCGCGTTGGATCGATTGAAGTCTGAGTCTTGGGCGTACCAAAAAAAATCAAGCACATTTGTAGCGCCTTTGTTCTGTTGTCTTTTGCTGGGGTTATATTTGAGCTACACAAAGTTTACAACTGGACTGTCATTAGTGTAACATCTCGCTCACAGTTCAGACTCAGTCGGACCGTGACGCGTTTGAATAACCTTTCACTGGTCGCGTCCGAATAGTGCTATCCTGCGAATGTTTTAAATATCCCCTTCTCGTTGAACTATCAACACAATGCCTAGAAAGGTCATTCTTGTCTCTGGAGCTACAGGGCGCCAAGGAGAGGCTCTAATTGCTTCCCTCAGTACCGTTACTCCATTCTCAAGTAGCTCGACTTCCGACTCAGAACCTCAGGAACCTTTTCATATTTTGGCTCTCACCAGAAACACATCGTCCTCAGCCTCGACTTTTCTCTCTCGAAAACAGAACGTATCGTTAGTTGTAGGAAATCTGGACGATGTCCAGTCCATCCGGAGTATATTTGAAGAATACAAGACGAATGGATCAGGTGGGATATGGGGTGTCTTTTGTGTCCTGAAGTTTCCTGGACTGGGAGCAAATGCGGATGGGGAAGAGAAACAGGGAAAGGCGAGTTAGGTCCTTCGTCGATCATACTTCAAGCTAAATCTTTGTTGATTTGAACCAACAGAACCTGGCTGACCTGGCACTAGAATATGATGTTCAGTCTTTTGTATTCTCTTCCGCCGAGAGGGGTAGCGAGAGAGATGATGACAAGGCTGTACTGGACAGACTTGCTAAAGTGAGAATAGAGCATCATATCAAGTCTTTGGGAGAGAAAGGATTACCTTGGACGTGAGTTATTTACTATCGTGTCACTCGAGTTAGAGGATACTTGCCTCAATCCAACATGTTTACTTCTTGTGTCCCAGGATCTTACGACCATCTTTCTTTATGGAGAACTACGAAGGCACCATTGGTTCAATCACAGTCGGTGTTCTGAAAACTGGTTTGAAACCTACAACGACGATCCAAATGATTGTACGTGTGAAAACCTCCCAATCATTTTTATTTATATCCCGTGTCCAAAATTCCTCTATGATAATGTATTCTCTCCAGGCTGTAGATGATATCGGCGGTGTGGCAGCGGGAGTGTTCAAGGTTCTAAGTTTGCGAGTTACCTTATGCGTTCATTCTGTGATTAAAACCTTCACACCTTCCAGGATCCCGTTCAATTCAACCACGAAATCCTTCTTCTCGCGGGCGAGCGCTCGACCATTTCCTCTCAAGAAACTGCGTACAGGAAAGCTACTGGTCATTCTCTCCCTTCTATCCCCAAGTTCCTTGCCCGAGCACTCATATCTCTCAATTCTCACACAAAGGATCTGTAAGTCATCAAAACTTTGGGTTATCTCGAAGGACCATAGTTTGCATTCTCCTAATGGCTAATTCCATTCTTTTCAACATAGTCTCGCCGACATTGAACGAGTGCACCTTATCACCTCCAATTCCGAAGACTCTGAGAGATGGCACCATCAAGTATCCTTTTCTAGAAAAGCCTACCCTGAGCCTGGCATGATGAGTTTCGAGACTTGGGCAAAGCAGAAATACGGACGGTCTTCGGAAAACGAACTGGGAACTCAAGGAACTGAACCTGGCTCTTCTAATCCGGGACGATGGAATCAAATTTCGATATGGAAGCTAGTGACAGGTAGGTTGTAAAGACATGACCCAAGGTTGCATCTGCGCAGCACTTGCACTGCTTGTAAAAAGTTGTATGAATCTTCGCGCATACCAGTATAATGGAACAGGCACAGAATTTCGAGAACTCTGGATGGTTCTCCTTCTCTAGTATTTCATTATATGATGACTTGTCGACTCGGACGGTATTTCTTCTCCGGTGCCTTATCATAGGAGTAGTATGTTCAGGACTTACTTTCGATAGCATAACGTCTATTCATGATGTGATGCCAAGTTTAGCGAATCATCGAAATTATTTGCGATCGTGGTGTCCCAGAGAACGCGATTGCACTCCAAATCTGGATACGTCATAGGCAGATGCCATTGCGCTCGACACTTAGCACAGACCTCCACCTCTCTTGATTTCCGCCAACTCCAGCTGCGTCTTTTTCTGCGAGGAACATCCAGCGAGAGGATGAAACTGACTACAAGATCCGACTTGTCCACCCTGTATAAACTCTTACGAATCGTCATTCGCCCAATCCGTCCTCGATTGGTTAACCCAGGTAAACGATGCCCTGCAGGTTCGCCCAATCTCACACCACCCAAAACGAAGTCTTATTCTATCCGTCATCGACAAGTCGAAGGAGTGAACCTTTACGATTTTCAATGTACCACGACTCCTAAGTCCGACTCTAACAATATCACTTTCGAATCAGAACCCACCCTTCAAGTTGCCAAACAAACTTCCCACTCACACACCCATCGAATTTTCTACTTTGCTGGAGGAGGCTTCCAATCCCCTCCAAGCAAAGATCATTGGTCTTTTTGCGCAGAACTCTGTCGGCAGTTATCAAACACGTATTGCATCACTCTTGTGAGCTATCCCCTTGCACCGAACAGTCCAGCTCCGGAATCATTACCGGTCTTGTACGAGTGGTTCAAGACCACTTGTATGGAATCGGCCAGGGGTAATGAGTCTATCACCCTCATGGGTGACTCTTCTGGCGGGAACATCGTTCTCGCTCTCGCATTCTGGTGGGCCGACCAGCATGTACAAGTCTCAGAAGCCAATACCACACTCGAACCCCTAAAAAACGTGTTCGTCATATCTCCACCCACGGATTTACGGAACCAAAATCCGTCAATGACCGAAGCCGATCGACACGATCCTGTCTTGACGATTCCACTCACGGCGAACGTAGCCAAAGCTTGGGCAGGTTTATTAGGGTCTGAGCATCAGCTTCAGAGTCAATGGACCTTAGATCGACCTGAACTTTCACCGAACCTTGTCGAAAATACCAAGTTTGCGAAACTCCGAGATGGAGGTGTGAGGATTCACGGTGTTGTAGGAACGTTTGACGTTCTCGCACCTGACGCGATGGTTTTTTATGAGAGGTGCCGAGAGAACGAGGTCGAGGGAGAGTGGTTGAAGTGGGAAGGACAGATGCATTGTTTCCCGTTAGCGTGGAAGTATGGGTTGTTTGAAGGGAACGAAGGGTTGAGATGGATTGTGAATGTGCTGGAGAGAAGTGTGATATGAGTTACATACTCTTAATGGAAGTCAGCGGGGGTATAGCTCAGCTGGGAGAGCAGCAGACTGAAGCCTAATTCGGTTATTCTGAAGGTCCCGCGTTCGATCCGCGGTACCCCCAATGAGATGAGTTAAAGACGTTTTTTTTTCACTCAGTTACTATGGTGAGGGCAGCAGACTGAAGACCATTTCAGTTATTCTGAAGGTCCCGTGTTAACATTAATTATAACAAGAACAAGTACATATTTCTTTTTCACTTGGTTCCTACTATAGAGCAAATGCCAAAACAAATTGTGTACTGAGGGCGAATTATTCTCCACTAGACTTCAAATTCTTTGTCCAGATGTTGTAGATCGTATCACCATTGATTATCTCGGAATCTCTTGCCCGTCTAGACATTCATTTGATGAAGCCCTTCAAAGAGCAACATTATGCGAGGAAGCCAACATAGTAGAAATGAATTTCATACCGCAGAAGCATATGCCACAGACTGCAACCAGTGACTCTAGCGGATACTGACCACTGCTAGACGGTGGCCATATATTGACACATGCGTGCGATTGGAGAGTTGTTGGTTCGGACGTAAGAGGGAGCGGGATGTCAAATCAGTTACCTATCCATCTTAGTATCTAGGCTCAGCACCCCATCAACGGAGCCCAAGCTGCACAAAGTGCTATACGGATTTAATCACATACACATGTATGCTCAAGTGTACTTGAACTGAATCCTGAATCCGTACTCACGTTCATTAAAAGTTCAAAATTTGGTTAAGGTATTTCCTTGCGGTTTTCTTTCGACACCAATTTTGCCACAGTCGTTGTCAAACTTGATTGCAAATTCCAAGGTAACTTCTTGTACTCCTATAGCTATAGTGCGCAGTCCACACGTCTCTCTCTCTCCCTCCTCTTTCTCTCTCACACACATTGGTGTTCTCGATGTTTGAAATCTGTCATTCTTTAGGACTCTTTCTTTTTTCCCCTTCTAATAATAACGCTCGTCTCCTTGCAATTTAGGGGTTTGGAACGGGGGGATTCAAGGGGTGGGAATCGTTAAAAATGTCCCACTGATTTCTCCCTACAGTTCTAATGACACAGGCTGGTACCTCTCAAGCTTCACGAATCCTCGATCGGGTGCCTACGAACGATTGAACGTCTGACTGGGTTGCTTTCGAAACCTTGATATATGGATACTAATACTATATGATGTCTACATAGCGCGCGTGCAAGGCGTCACAATGATATATAGACGGATGGTAGTACTTCTCCCGACGTCTGACATTTCTACATCATCCATCAAAGGTCGTTCGGGTCCTGATGCCCTAACTGTATAGTTACGGTGAACTTACGGTGCTATAGATTGTTCGAAATCTAATCAAGTAATAAAATACTTTTTTTCTTGCAAAGAATTGGAAGTATCATGATGGAATCGTACGATGATGATTGTGTTTCTCTCTCTCTCTCTCTTCGGTTTGCATGAGAACTGAGAGAAGGAAGATTAAAATGCTGACTTTTGTAAAGACGTACATACGGCAAAAGATGGGGCACTAACTTGAAACCCGCCGACAGCAGTGGCTCCCACAAAAGTTGATCTTCAAACTTTCAACCGGGTTTAATAACGTACAGGCATTCCGACTCGTCGGTGTTGAACTCTCATGAGTAAGCGCCCACTTCATCCAGATGGACAACTGTGGACCTTTGAATCAAACTTCTCAATCATCCCACTTCCTCTCCTGTGGCACGGTCTAAATTCGTTTATGAACGAACGCAGTTCGTGCTATCAAAATATATATACATACTCTATCTATATACTCGCATATACGTATACTTATGTCAAGCTGACCAGCCAGTGGGAAGAAAGGAATTTGTCAGGGAAAAAAAATGAATTGAAGGAAGCTTGGTCTTAAGGAAGTAGGAATGGAAGTTATTGGTTTCAAGTTGAAACGGCCAGAAGAAAAGATCAAAATTGGTGTTTCTGATGCTCCAACCTCTCGTCGGGAAGGTATGTAATTGCATTATACGTAGGCATTGGCAGAAGAACAGAAAAAGAACTAAGATTCTCTCTCCGAGTGTCATCCCTGAAAAGAGCGACTGAGAAACCCGAGGAAACCTGTTGCTTGAGTCTAATTTTATTGCAGTACGGTTAGCTATATGTATTTTCACGAAACGAAATAAGTACAGCTTTGTGGTGTTGGTCAATATTGTTGGAATATACCGCTTGAGTTGTTTTCTATGTCTAATATATCTTTGGTGGATACTGCACGACGACCCGCGAGTAGTTCTGTCGATTCTCTCGCCATGGATTCAAGTGAATATTCAGGTTGCTCAATACTTGCCAGCTAATGATGCCCGTCGGGAAGATGAGAAAAAAAAGAAGAAGACATCAACTACTTGAACTCGAACCTGAAGGTATTCTTAGCCCATAGGCAGAAAAAGCCTTCCAGGAGAAAGGGGACCTAGATTATGATACAATAAAAAAGAACTTCAGAAGTCTCGATGAACGTCCAAAGTGTCGAAATTGAATTCGAAATTCTTACTCCCCCATAAAGGAAATATGTAAACCTTACTTTGCTCCTTTGATATCGGTGCCATGGGCTTGGGAACGTTTTGGTTCGACGAACCGGACTGTGGGGTGTTCAAGCTGTACCACGGGAAAAAAGTCAACGAACACGTATGTATATGACAGTACATACAATTTATATTGTTTAGTTTCCGTCTCACTCCTTCGGTACGAGATCTGAACATTTTTTGAATTGGAAACGTACCTGATCCGATCATTTGGATCCCGTCGAACGTCTTTCAATCAATTTTCTGATGCTGGTTCCACGGATCCATGGATCGGAACGATGGGTAACCCGAGATACGAGGAAACACTTTGCGTCGAAGCGGAGCCAAGAGAACGGTGTGGACCCGGTTCTTTGAGCAGAAATCAAGCTTCGAGAATTTCCTTCCTTGGCATTGAGACTCTTGAATGTGGCGCAAAAGCTGAACTCTGAACTTGGATATTTTCTGCACGGAGAGGGGAAGCGATCCAATAGCACACGTGCATTAGTAAAAAAATGAGATGATTTGGAGGGGGCTGATTCTCCGAGGTGCCCTTTTGCTTGAATGGCACGGTCTGGACCAAAAGGAGTCATTGCAAAGTAAATTCCTGCCGGCGGTACATAGCCGAGACGGAAGAAGACAAGAGACAGCCACATATGAAAGAGCCTGGAATCTGAGAGAAGAGAGGAATGATACGATGGCCAAAAAAGGTTGAGGGTAAGAAGGTGTATGCAGTCCGACTTAATACAAGCTGGAGAACGAAGGCTGAGACAGTCCTAAAAATAGAGCAACAAATGAGTTGGAAGCCACCAGATCGAGAGCAGTCCATCAGAAGACAGTCAACGGTAGGAACGAACAGACAGATGAGCGACTTTTTGTGTGATGGTCGATGTCGCTCAGAGCTCTAGAACCTCTCCACACAGCTTTGTTCGGCCCGAATGTTTATTGTCAATGTTTGATGTAATTTGGCAAAAGTCTCTTCGACCTTTTTCTCACTGTTCGTTCAACCTTCATGATGGTCTTGAAGCAGCAGGCTCTCGAAGCTCGGCGTTAGTGCATCTACAGACTGCGCAGAAGACGAAAGGTTCTGTCCTGAACTGCGCCTTTATCTTTTTACACAATGGAAGAATCCAAATGTTGGCATGATGATTTCTACTGCATGGTGCAAGGAAGATCTCCTCACTTTCATCAACCGCCAAACTCTATAAACCAATTATTCTGTCTTTCACTCGCGATGGGAATTTCTGTGCCACCGTTACGATAGCGTTGTAGGAATGCATCGACTTGTTCTCAGATCTCGGATACGAATGCCGAGGTACCGACCCCTCGTACCATTACGTTCGAATCTATCGACGACAAAAAAAGGACATTCCCTTCAGAAGAAAAAATCAAAGTCAAGTAACGACCGCCTCTGGTCGATAATTCATTTGGTTTCTATCCAATATCGATTGAACTGAAATGGATCTCGCGAAAAAGAAAAGGTGTCATGTATCCGTTTATCTGGGTTTGCTGTCTTTTTCGAAAGAACAAACATATTCCTTACCTATAAAGGCTCAACAAAATTTTCTTTGGTAACTCAGCCTACTCAGGTTCTTCCTCCGTCCTCTCTTCTTCTATTCGGGCTTCTCTGTTACCAAAAACTTGGAACTCAAAAGATGTACTCCACTGTCATCTGTTCACTCACTCTCGCCAGCGTTCTCTCTTCCGTTGCTGGTGTAGCAACCCTAGACAAGAGACAAACCACCAATGCCACTGCGAGTGACGGTGGCAGCGGCATTCCGACTATCAATGACGTGACGAACCCTGTCTGCAAGCCATTTGTAGCTGTTCGGGACGCCATTATGGGTGACATATTCCAAGGTAAGCCATTGAGTATCCGAAGCCTTGTCAACCAGCCCGCTACGAGTTCCAAATTTTTCACGAAACAACGCCCTTACCGCTGGCTTGGAACGTGATGATTGGGACTGGGCAGGCTTTCCTGTTATTGAGCCCCCCGCTTTTTTTTTCTGATGGCTAATACATACCTTTTTCGTTTGATCAGGACGTTGCAACGATAACGCCCGTGCTGCCATTCGTCTCTCGTTCCACGATGCAGGTACGTAAAAAACTGTTGTCATCCATCTGCATCGTCCATCGTCCATCATCCATCACTATCCGTCACCTTCCATCCATCCCTCACCCCCTGAAACTAAACCGTAAAAAACTTAACTAACCCAAAAACCTTTTTTTCGATCATCCAGGCACCTTTTCACTTTCTCGCGAAGCTGCCGGACTAGACAACGGAGGCGCAGACGGAAGTCTTTTAGTAGACCCAAACGAAATCAACAGGAGCGAAAACAATGGGATGCAGACTATCGTTTCGTTGTTGAAACCTTTGCCGGAGAAGTTTGATGTATCGCCAGGAGATGTTCTTCATGTATGTTTTATCTAACTCTCTTCTGATTCGAAAGACCTATGCTGAATACTTTTTTTCCCTTTCAATTCCTTTTTTTCTCTTATAGCTTGCTGGTACTTTGGCAGTTGTAAGTACCCAAACACCTCGGACTCTCAGAGAGAAAAAAAAGTCTCTTACTAACTACCC